ATTAGGGCCTCATTTTCATCATGCCTGGTCCCTCCACCTCAGGCTTCACAGCTGCTGAGATGCAGTCTTGCTCTTCCCCACCATGTTCTTTCAGGCCTTTGTGTCTGACTGGCTTGGTAAAGAAACTGGAGGTCCTGCCAAAACTATGCACAGCACTCCAGAGGTGACTGAGTAATGAGATGAATTATCATTTCCTCTGAGGTGCATCTGAACAAAATCAGCCTTAGAAATCCTCGTTGGCTCACTTCCTGTGGCTCTCATGCCAGCATGTCTACAAACAGGTCATAAAAGCAGGACACAGGCTAAAAATGTCCAAGAATTGCTTTTTTTCTCAAGTGCCACCTGATTTCTCTCTGAGCAGCTGCCTGCTCTTGTGTCTCTAGCTGCCATCACTGCCACCACTGGCCAATTTCAACAAAATGTAACAGAAAGGCATAAATCTCTGATAGAACAAGTTTCCACATTTTCCAGAGAGGAGACAAAATCTAGAAATTTCCCTTCTGAAGGAAAACCCTTATTAACATAGAAGAATCCTTACAAAATTAATCCTTGAACGCATGTGTAGGAAGGAGGATTTGGTCAGTTCCAGTGCTCAGGTTGCTCCTGGGGGGTGTAGCAGGGTCTGTGTGCTCCTTAGGAAAACATGAGGTTGAAGTGGTTAGAGAAGTGGCTGAGTCAGCATGCAAAGCAGCACACAGGGCCTGCATTTCCATCTGTGTTTAAGACATTCAGCAATGAGTTCTCTCACGTTTGAAGCCTGCTGTGAGCTTCTGAAAGTGCTTTGTTAATATATTGGAAAGCTAGGGAGAGACACCAGTTGAGGCTAAATCCCTGGGTGCCTATTTCACTGCATGTTCTGGTTTGAGTCCCATGACCAGAGAAGTAACTGGGGGGGGGGATGGGGAGATACAACTGAACTTTTTGGAAAACAGAAATATTTTTCAGATGAATGATGCAGCTTTCCTGTATAGTTTTCAAGAAATATTTACAAGGAATGAGTAGCAGGTGCATTTCTCAACCTGAAAAGACCTAAGACATGGGCTCAAGGAGAAAGACAAGGTGAAATCCCCCTTCCACATGCACAAATAGACATGGATTTCAAGGCTGTACACAGAGGTAATTTAATTTTTATATGGTAGTAGCCTTATTATTATTCTGGTCTCATGTAAACTGTTGTTTAAGAGGAGGAGGAAAAAAACCCAAAAAGCCCACAAACCAGTAAACCACTTTCTCTTAAAGTTGTTCAAGTGAGAGATAAAAAACTTTAACAGAAAAAGAAAAAACACATGAAATTTCATATAATAATAATAGTAATAACAATAGTAATAGCAATGGGCACTTCTGCATGAAAAAAAAAAACCAAATGACAAAAGGAATCTGGCCATTAATAAATTCTGAAGCTCATCTAGAATATCTGGAGCAAGTGTATCTCTTCAGTACCCACAGGAAGCTGTAGTGCTGGAACTAATGAGGTTTGTCAGCAAGTTCAGCCAGGTGCCCTCCAAGGTAAGGGTAAAAAAGTGGCTTCAACACTGAGCGCTTCTAACACCTGGGTGATCCCTCAGCAACCCAGAGATGAGCAGCAGCCGAGGCAGAGCAGTCCCAGGGTGTTTTGAAGTGATTCAACAGGAGCACAAAGAGCTGGGAAGGAAAGGAAATCTCTGAAAGGAGAGGACGGGTGGTGAGAGCTCTTCCTGCTGTTTGTAACCGCTGGGTTACCCAGGCAGGGCGTGATGCGTGTCCCGGCCTCGGGGTGGCACAGCAGGTACGGAAACCCCATCTCCTGGGAGAAGTCCAGCTCCCCGTGCTTGTCAAAGCCGGGTACCTCGCCTGGGAGTCAGACTGGCAGCCAGGAAGGGGGTGCTGGCCTGGCTGCCCCTGCCCTGCTCCCTGGGGGGTGTGGGCGTGGGGAGGGGGCTGGGGAATCACAGAGTCACAGAATCACAGGGGTTGGGAGGGACCTGGAAAGATCACCCAGCCCAACCCCCCTGCCAGAGCAGGGTCACCCAGAGCACATCACACAGGAACGTGTCCAGGTGGGTTTGAATGTCTCCAGAGAAGGAGACTCCACAGCCTCTCTGGGCAGCCTGTCCCAGGGCTCTGTCACTCTCACAGGAAAGAAGTTCTTCCTGATATTCACATGGAACCTCTTGTGCTCCAGTTTGCACCCATTGCCCCTTGTCCTATCACTGGTCATCACTGTACAAAGCCTGGCTCTGTCCTCCTGACACTCACCCCTTACATATTTGTAAACACTGATGAGGTCACCCCTCAGTCTCCTCTTCTCCAAGCTCAAGAGACCCAGCTCTCTCAGCCTTTCCTCATCAGGGAGATGTTCCACTCCATCATCTCTGTAGCTCTGCTCTGGACTCTTTCGAGCAGTTCCCTGTCCTTCTTGAACTGAGGGGCCCAGAACTGGACACAATACTCCAGATGTGGCCTCACCAAGGCAGAATAGAGGGGAAGGAGAACCTCTCTTGACCTACTAACCACCCCCTTTCTAATGCACCCCAGGATGCCATTGGCCTTCTTGGCCACAAGGGCACATTGCCGGCTCATGGTCATCCTCCTGTCTACCAGGACCCCCAGGTCCCTTTTTCCTACCCTGCTCTCCAGCAGGTCAGCCCCCAACCTTTACTGGTACATGGGGTTGTTCTTCCCCAGATGCAAAACTCTATGATTGCCCTTGTTGAATTTCATCATGTTTCTCCCTGCCCAACTCTCCAGCCTGTCTAGGAAGGGAAATTCACCCAGAGAGACCAGACCTCCCCCCCATTTCAGTTCTTTAGGACACTTCAGCTTTTGTTCCCTTGCACTCCCTCTCATAAAGAAGGGTATTGCTTATGGCAGGGGTGCTTTGGCACCCAGTAGGAGCCTCCACCTTGGGAGTCTCAAGACAAAAAGTGGATTCATAGAGCTCAATTTCCTCTCTCAAGTTGCACCAGTCAAGAGTTGTATGAGATCAGCCTCAGATTTGAAGCCTACACGAGCTCCTGCCCTCCCTTGTTCAGGCATCAGGCTGTCTCACAACTGCGTGTGGAAAACATGCAAAACCAGTCAAAATTGTGGTCTAGAAATATCTTCAGGCTCTATTTAGACTGTTACTGACTCTGGGTGACTACCATCCACTGCAAACACAGATGGGGATGTCATTGTTTGGCCCCTGAGTCCTTACTTTCCCAGCAACAACAGTGACCACCCAATTACTCAACACATCCCAGTGGTTTGATTTAAATGAAGCTTTTTCAAAACAAGGAAGTAAGCAGGGTGGTACCTTTCTTTTGCAGAAGAGCACACACTGTGGGACAGATCACAATGCCATCAAGTCAGCCACCTGAGCAAGAAGCAGCAGTTATACCACAAATCACTTAGCACTTCCATGGGAATTAAGGTAGAAAGTCCTCAAGAACTTCTTGAGGTCATCTAGGTCAGTTGCCTAGGGCATCACTTTGAATTTACATTAGGTTGCTCAAAGCTTCCCTAGTTTTGAAACTCTCACAGAGTGCAGATTGCACTGCCTCTTGGAGCTTTGCAAACATTGAATCACTCCTGGTGAAATGTTTTTTTTCTTACATCATGTCAGAGAAGATATGGAAATCAACATTACAACCTTGAATTTGCAGGCTTGGAACTTTTTCCTTCCCACAAAAGATTTAGACAAGAGCTCTGCACAGCAGCATAGCTCGGCAGAAATCTAAAATTAATAGTATCTTCTGTAGTGTTAAGACCCTCTCCTGCTGCAAATGTCTGAAACACACAGGTTTCTGCCTGAAGACAGCATGCTAGGATTTGCAGATAAAATATTTTAAAACCAAAATCATCAAAACTTGCTGATCACAATCCATAAGTGAGAAAGTGAAGACTCTCATATATAACATCCCATTCATACCAAATGAAATCCCATTAGCTGCCCTTGGCCCTTAGGACAAACGTGCTGCATTATTTCTAGTTTCCTGTAATTTTGAAGTCATCAGTGAAAGTTATCAGAATTGATATGTCTTTTTTTCTTTTTTTATTTTTTATTTTTTTAAACACTGTATCATGCTGACAATACTTCCAGGAGAAAAGGTTTTGCACATTTTTAAGCAGGGAATACAAGTATTTACATTGTAAAGCTAAATGGCAAGTTTCCCTGTTGAGCCTTCACAACCAAGACAGGTTCCTCTAGGAAGAAGAGGAAAGTGCACATCTAATTTCAGCTGAGTTTTAAGACAGCAACAAAGTTCCCCAAGTCAGGTCTGCCTGCTAGTAGGCCCAATGACACTGAGGTATGCTACTCTACCACAGTTCCAGCCTAAGCATGTCCACCAGCCATTTCTGTTTGCTGTTACTGTCAGAAGATATGTCAGTATTACCTGTCTTAGCCCCATAAACCTGCAGAGTAGCCTTACTGATTTTAAACTTGATTTTCAAAGATGCTCTTCCCCTCTGCTAAGCCATGACTTACTTTCACACTGCAAAACTACCTGCACACTGCATCCTCCTTGCAGGGCTTGCAAAGGCTTCTTCCCAGAGACACCTGGTGCAGTATTGCAGTGCTGGTGGCTGTGGTGAGAAGTTCTGGCTTTACTCATGGCCTTGGGAAAGTCACTGGTCTTCCTGGGTTTGGATTGGAACTGTGCTTTTGAAGCTCATCTCCTGATCACACAGGCTTACTGTACTTTGAGTCATGTCATGGGACAGGTGTGATGGAAGATGAACCTCATGCCTTCCAGATGAGGCTTCATTAATTCACCTGCTGCCAACGCTGCCTTCAATCCCCACATGCCAAACAAGCCCTTCCTTATTTGTGAGGGTGAGGTCAAGTAGAGTACTTCTCCTCAGCACTTAGCATTTAGGTCAGACAGTTGTTATAAGTAATCTCTAGGAGCCTCCCAGATTACTTATGTTCTGCTGTGTTATCCCTTCAGCAAATACTGGGATGGTTGAAACCTCCCATGAGGACCAGGGCCTGGGGATGTGAGACTACTCCTATCTCTCCATAGAGGACCTATCCATACCTTCTTCCTGGTCAGGTTGTTTATAGCAGATGCCCACTACAATGTCACCCTTACTTATTCTCTCTTTAATCCTCACCCACAAGGTCTCAGTTATCCCCTCATCCATCTCTGGGCAGAATCTCAGGTACTCTAGGTCCTCTCTCATATAAAGAGCAACTCCTAATCTTCCCTGAGGGAACTTGTATCCCTCCATGGCAACACTCCAGCCATGGGGGCCATCCCACCAAATCTCCATCATCCTACTGGGGTCAAAGGCCTGGAACTTCACAGACATCATTAACTCCTCATGTTTATTCCCCATATGCTGGTGCACAGGCACTTCAGAGAGGCACCCTATTTCCCCAGAAAGGGTCTGTTTCCCTTCTTCCACCTCAGTAGTTCCTTGTGGGAAATTCCTTGCTTACATGAAAATGCTGGAGGTGACCCCACCTAAGCTTTGATTTGTGGATTTTGTCTTCCATTTGGTACACATCACCCCAGCCCCTTTGCTCACTAGCCCTGTCCATAACTCTGTCACAGGGGTGCTATTAACTCTCCCTCCCACATAGTTCCTAATTTAAGACCTTCTTACCTTCTCAGACCTGCTGACAAAGATGCCTTTGTCCCACTTAGTGAGGTGGAACCCATCTCTCCCAAGTAGCTGTTGATCCACAAACAGCACCCCATGATCCAAACCAAAACCCTGCTGCTGACACCAGCCCTGCAACTGGTTCTTGACACACAGTCCCCCCGTCTTCCCCTTACCAGCAAGACTTGGGTTCCCACACCTCTAACCATCTCTCTCTCATTCTCTCTGGTGGCTGCATAGCCAGCTGATTGCCCCCCATCACTCCTCCACTCGGTGACACAGCTCTTCAACAACAGCTTTTCTCCAGCCTCAGAGAGGCCACAGGCACTCCCTGCACCTGGGGACTTTCAGCATCAACCTCTACCTGACAGGAACAGCTGCTCCACCACCTGCTGGGCAGAGTGCCGTGTGGCACATCACCACCATAACTGAGAGTATTTGAGCTGATAGGAGCTCAGATGATGAGCTCTTCTTTGCATCTTTCTGAGCAAGCTCTTGGCTGAGCTCCAGACCTGGTTCTCATGTAAGTCTCTCCCTGGCACCTTCTGAAGGAAGTGAGGTGGTGGCTACAACAAAGTTTCAGGCAGCCTTGAGTCAAAGGCAGCTGACCAAGCCTACTGGAACTTCTTACAAAACAGGTCATCATTATGTTCCTGCAGAATAGTTTGATGCAATAAAATTTGTATTTTTGCTAGAAAATTCTTCTGCTAACACACAGCATCAGCCAAAGATGCTGTGAACCATTGGATAAAGCACACAACCTTGAGCACTGTCTTCTGGGATTTTTTAATCTGTATTGTTTCATATGCCTGGTAATACCCAATTTAGAGCTGTCAGGAACACAAGGAAGCCATTTAGGGAATAAAAGACAAATGTCTGGGTTACCCAAGAATTCAGGCAATGCCAAAACACCACAGATGCAAAGCAGCAAGGCCTCTGCTTTCTGAATGTTTCCTTAAGTCTTGCAAATATTCAAGTGTTTTTGTTTTCTGTTTACTCTGCCTGCACTGGGCAAACCTGTTGGAAAGGTTGCCTTGCATTCCCCTGAAGTTACAGTGACCTCCAAACATTTGTATCCCTTTTGGCAACTGGTGGACTCCCATCAGTCAGCTGATAAGACAATTTGCTCTAGACTTACTTATGGCACTTGTTAGTGATAAGGAATGGAATTACCTTCATTTCCCATGGGATCTTTCACCACTGAGATCCTGCTGGAGGCTGCTGATTCAGCTGTGTGACCTCCATCTGAAAACACACAGCTCTTGACCATCCCTCTCCAGTGGCAGCTGCCCCACAGCAGGAGGGGTTGGTGCGTGTCCCAGGCAGAGTGTTTCTGTTCATAATGAAAAAAAAGTAAGGGAGAGCTTTTTTAAGGGATATCACAGAGTCACAGAACCTTAGGGGTTGGAAGGGCCCTCAAAAGATCCCCCAGCCCAACCCCCCTGCCAGAGCAGGGTCACCCAGAGCACATCACACAGGAACGTGTCCAGGTGGGTTTGAATGTCTCCAGAGAAGGAGACTCCACAGCCTCTCTGGGCAGCCTGTTCCAGTGCTCTGTCACTTTCACAGGAAAGAAGTTCTTCCTGATATTCACATGGAACCTCCTATGCTCCAGTTTGCACCCATTGCCCCTTGTCCTATCACTGGTCATCACTGTACAAAGCCTGGCTCTGTCCTCCTGACACTCACCCTTTACATATTTGTAACCATGGATGAGGTCACCCCTCAGTCTCCTCTTCTCCAAGCTCAAGAGACCCAGCTCCCCCAGCCTTTCCTCATCAGGGAGATGTTCCAGTCCATCATCTTTGTGGCTCTGCGCTGGACTCCTTCAAGCAGTTCCCTGTCCTTCTTGAACTGAGGGGCCCAGAACTGCTTAGGTTTTTGCAGAGGTTTTCTGAAACCAGTATGCCATGGGGCTCTGTAATGTCAAAGCCAATATCCTTCTGTGCAGGACTGGTTCTTTGGAAAATACTAAGACAGCTTTCCTCTTGCTGTTTCTTCTTCATATAAAGGTCAACCTTCCACCCCTCCAGAAACTCTAGCTACACTGGCACAGCCCTGCCTGACAAGAATGCTGCAGGCTCAAGTGTTTACATGGATAAAAACTGATTTTGCAAAGATCAATAATGCCTTCTAAGGTTTCTCAGCCCTATCAATTGTCATGTCCTTGCCTGTGGACTTAACAGGCATTTCAGTCAACCTAGCGCAAACAAACTCTTTTTATACTCCAGAGCAGGCTCAGGTAGATGCTAATTTGTACATTACCCAATCTCCCCGCCCCCCACAACTTTATTTTCAAAGCTGAAGACCACCCAGTATTCCCACTTCAAATGAAGCCAAACTTTATCTTGCCCTTTTTCTTCTTGAAGCAGTTAAGTACTCTTTTCTTTTTTCAACAGTGACTTGTGTAACATACTGTCTCTTTAGGTGAAGAGGGCAAGGGGATCTGGTTGCTTTGTGGTTTGTTTTTTTCTCATTGCTAGAAATATCTGAAGTTCAATCCAGAAACTGTCACTTCTAGAAGGACTGCTTACTAATCTATGATAATGAAGAGCTGTATCATTGTCTCTTTAACCAGACTTGTCCAGAAAGACTGGGAAATCAATCAAAAGTCATGTGAACTGGAGGACTGGAATTATAGAGAAGAGATTAAATAAAGTGTAAATTTGTCCTCACTAATATATGTTTGTGGGCTGGAAAAAAAAAAGGGGGGGGACACTCCATATACTGCTTGATTACAGGAAGATCATGAGATATCAACAGAATGAGACTATGAAAGCAGTTATGAAAATCCTAGAATGGACAAAGGAATGTATTTCCAGCAAGCAGTAAAATATAAATGAATTTGCACTAGTTCTTCCTTTCCAATACTGTGTATATGAATCTAATCCCAGTGTTTGAAGAGGATTAATTATAAATCGAACAGATGCAGAACAAATAAAATTACAATGATCCAGGAATGAGATAATATGAAAATAAACTAAAAAAAAAAAAGTTTACTTTATTTGGCCTAATAAAATGAAGTCAAAAATGGGTATGATTGCTTCTTTATTTTCCCAGGAGACAAAATACAAAGGAGGAGGATCTTCTAAGCCAAAAGACAATATTGTCAGAAGAACATATGGTCTGTTTATTTATACTTCTCAAGGAAGGATGTGGGCAGGAAATTTGGGAGAAGTTTCTAATGATCAGAGCTGTGAAGTTCTGAAACAGCCTTACAGTGGCAGAGGAGCTATTTTTGATACAGAGTTTGACCAGTTCTTAAATTGCAGCATTGATGAGACCACTTGCAATACTGGAAGCAGAAAGGTGGGGTTTAAAGAAGTCACCGATACCTTGTGTTCATGCTCAGACTCCCGGTCCTCAACAGTTCACTCTAGTTTTAAAAAGAGGAGGAGACAGGGGACAAGGACAGGCAAGAAGAGAGGGGGAGATACAATAGTGAATGCTCTGAGTACCACCAATGTTTTTCAGTGGCAGATCCTTGTGTAAATAACTTTTCTCACTAAGGTAAAATGAGTCAGAAAGCATAGAACAACTTTTTTTTATTATTGTTAAGAATATGGGCCAGGTGTATATTTTCATAAGACTGTAGCTGAGAAAAATTCAGGCTGGTAAAGAGCAAATCAACGAATCTCAAGTGAACACTCGATAATGGAGGAATTTAAGACAACCTGCAATGACAAATCTCAAGCACATTCTGATGTGCTTTTTCTGTACATTACTAAGACTGTAAACATCACTCTGCTACCTAGCAGAGGACAGAAAATGGCAAAAATAGCAGACAGCCTTCAGTGAGGCTCAGTCCAGTTGATGTCATCTGTCTCTTTCTGCTTGGTCTCTCAGCTGCTTCCATCTGCTTCTTTTTATCTCTTACATATATTTTCTTGATGGGGTTGACTCTTTGGAGTTTTCTTCTTTTAGTCTTCCCTTGCTGTAAAGTAATTTGGAAAAGGGAAAGATGTCAAAACTGATATGGAGAAAAAGGATGACAAGATGAGAGCAGATGATTGTAGGCACAGAGTCTGTGTGGACTGGGTGTGTTTGAGAAATTACTGTGAACAATATAACTGGTAACTACGAAAGAGCAGAGCTGGGTAACACTAGCACAGCTTTTTCCTCATTATATTTATCAGGAAAGTGAACTGAATTTTTCCTGTTGCTACCAAGCTTCTTGAGGTGACACAATCACTGGAGCTAAACAAAGGTAAGCCTGGTTCTTTGCCAGAACTGCTGCATTTTGACTAAAGACACAGGAGGAAGCAAGTGAAGTCTTTATTCAATCTACAGCATAGATTCCCATGGTTCTGCCTGAAGTGCAAGTGTGTCTGATGTGTGTGACATTCAGTTAGCATTCCACACAGTACAGCATTTTGAACATGAAAAGCAAGAAATTTTGTGCAGCACCACCAGTCTCAGTTGACATACTCCATGTACAGATTGTGTACACATGTAGTAGTGCCCACAGACAAACAGATCCCAGGTCAGCATAGTGTAGCTGTGCTGGTGTTTCCCAGCTCTGCTCTTCAGGAGCCACCAGCTGTACAAACAATGAGGGTTTGGCTTCTATGACCATAGGACCCTCTCTGAAGACCAACAATAACTTGGAAGGGACAAGATCCATGTGACCAAGTGGGGGAAAAGTGTCTTTGCCAACAGACTGTCCAGCGTGGTAAGAGTTTTAAAGTAAGAAAGATGAAGGAAGGGAAGAGTGACCAACAACCAAGTGAAGA